AATAGGGTTGTATCACTTTTTCCAAAAACGCAATCAGCTTCCATATATATTAATTTATAACACAAATTATTTTTTTAATAATTATTTGTCAATCATTTAAAAAGTTATCGCACGTTGAATATCTAGGCGGCAAAGTCTCTTTTTAAACGCCACGGAACTAGCCGAACGCGCCCGAAGTAGGTTATGACGTCACGATGTAAGTGCCGAATGTCGCTGTATGTTTCAACATTATAAAGAATAAGGTTAAAATCGGTTCAAATGCAATATGTCGACGCCGGGAAAAAGTTATCGTTGCTGTTTCGTGCCTCTATGCAAAAACACAACAAAAAGTACACCCCATAAAGTTTTTTTTTGTGTTCCACGCGATGAAAAAATGAGAAAGCTGTGGTTTCGTCAGGCACGTCGACCAGATAACCCTTCACAGTGGAACTATTTTTGCTGTCAGGACCATTTTAACATAAAAGACGATATGGAAAATTATGTGCGTTTTATGTTGATGGGAGGGCCTGTTAAATTAAAATTGAATGTTGTGCCGCATATATTTAATTGCCAACCGGATAGAGAAAGAGCTGCAAGTCGTCAACTTCGACCAGTTGCTGAAAAAAGGCGTCATAAAGCAGAGATCGCTGATATTTTAGCGAATCCTGGTTGTTCATCACAGGACGTTTCGGTAAATGAAGAAAATATATCACCTAATATTTTAAATAGCACAAACATGATTAATAAAATACCCTTCGAAGAAGCTCAGACACACTCTTTGCCTGAAACACTTACTTTGGACAAAGAAACAACAAAAATTCTTCACCATAAGGGAACACAGACAAACGTAAATCGAGACAAACATTTTCGGAGCAAAGGAATTTCTTGCAATCTTCAAACTACAAATACAACAATTCCTACATCAGGAATCAAAGTCTACCGAGATATGGCTACTTCACCAATAACAGTACCACCAAAAAAAGCACGGATGAAAGAATACAGCGGTGACACTGCTTCGACTGCTGTCTCTTCACTTTGGACTTCCACTTCCAGTGATTGGAAACCAAGTACTTCAGAAGAAGAAGTAAATCCGATGAATCGAGATGAAATGCAAGCTAGTAGTCTAATAATGACGAATTATTTTATAAGTCAACAGTCGAAAGATTATGTAGGCATTGCAAATGATTGGTATTGGATTATTGATCTCTTACACATTCATTCAAAAATTCATCCTGATGATATAAAACTTACTCTTATGAAAATAAGGTTGAATGATACATTTAAAAGATTAGGAAGTCAGTTCGGAATATCTTCTGGTCAAGCAGGAAAAATTTTTTCAAAAACTGTACCTCGATTAGCCGATATTCTAAAAACCTTAATATATTTTCTATCTGAAATAAGTGTAAAAAAAGCATTACCTATTCCTTTTCGCGCAAACTATAGCAATGTACAATCCATTGTAGACTGCTTTGAAATTGAAATAGAAAAACCAACTGATCCAATGAAACAAGCACTTACGTGGTCAGAATATAAAAAATGCAATACATTGAAATACCTGATTTCAGCGACACCTGATGGAA